ACACGCATTAGGTATGAGTTGACGTGTTGACAAAACTGTTTGTGATTCTACCAGAATTTGGAGCGTGTTCTCCGAGACCTGGTGACAGAGAATGCTCATCTCCAGTCTCGTGTGAAGGCTAAAGATACGGAGTTAGCTGCAGCACAGCAGCAATTGAGACGTAATGTTAGTCTTAAGGATGATTAAGTGGAACAGTCAAGTGTTGTGTTTTTTAATCGCAGGAAGAAGCAACTGAGAGGGAGATGCTGACACTCCGACAAGAGCTCACAAGAAAGGTGAATACTTTGATCATGTGTTTAATCATTATGCACTCATTGTCTCTCTTGGTTACTGTAGACAACAGAAGTGACAACAGATAAATCGGAGCTGACAAGAAAGGAAGTTGACTTCGCTGAAACTCAGCAACAGTTGATACAAAAGGTAATAGAAACTAATTTTTAGCGGATGTTTTTATGAAGTCGTGATGCGATTGATTTTCAGGAGGAACACTTATCAATGAAAAGCACTAAAGTGCAAACCCTCGGCAAACTGTGCATGCGTGATACCGCTAATTGATGGGCTTGGCTATTAGTAGTATGCGTTTACTCGTGGTCTCCTGCTAGTAGCTTGCGGAGAGTCTGACACGGGCTAGCTATATACAATAGTATAGCATGCGGGAGTCGATACATGCCCTTCTTTGTGACTTATTGTGCCTTCAAGATACACAGAGCAAGCGTGACCTGGTCGAAGTAAGCCTGTGCTAATTGGCATATTGGCTTGTTCACTTGGTTTTCACGCCATAACTTTAGAACGCAGTAGTTTTATGAAAATCACTGAACCCATAACTGTCGCTCTTTGTCCGGTTTCTTGCGCGTGGTGGCAGAAAACAGACAGACAGACAGACGTAAGGACAGACACACTTACGAACCAAGTACTGTAACCCTCGCTGCGCATGCACACCATGAGTATGAGTGTGAGAGTGAAACTGAGAGTCCAACAGCAGTTGACAAGAAAAGTTAACGTTTTTAGCAAAAGCATGTTGAACATTCTCCCTCTTGGTTTCTGAAGGAGACAGAGCTGACGAGAAATAGAGCAGAGCTGACAAGAAACGAGGCAGAACTGACGAGAAAAGAGGCAGAGGTGGCAAGAAAGGAGGCAGAGCTGACAAGAAAGGAGGCAGAGGTGACGAAAAAGGAGGCAGAGGTGATGAGGGCAGAGGAGACTATGAGGAGAGAGCAGCAGCAGATTCAGGAGATGAGACAGAGAGTTAGTCTAGTGTGTGGAGTTGTGTTTTGTGACTAGAGGTCCTCCTGACTGCAGGAGACTGAGTTAGTGCAGGCCAAGGACAAGGAGATAGCTCTGCTTCAGCAGCAACTGGGGGGAAAGGTCAGTCATGAGTTGTATACCCTCAAATTCTCTGACTAAGAATATCAGTATAGCTCTAATTTCACGCACCTGAATGTGTAAGCGTATTGTGGTAACTGTAAGAATATGAGTAAAATTATATACTCGACAGTCTTTCTGGACTCAAAAGCAACCAAAATAACGTACAATTGTGGCAGCAAGACTACTGTATTTCTTACTTAGTGAGCTGGGTAATTTGCATTGTAGTCCAACTTCAAACAATGCAGCGCTTGGAATATACGCTGTATTCTGAGCTGTGGGCTGACCAATAATTATCAGTATTGGACAGGAAGTTCTTATCACAACATCTAGTGCTAGGCATGGTGCCAATTGTCTGGCTTCCAAAGTTTACACAACAATTCATAGTACATCAGTAGACCTGCCAACCCGGAAAATGTACTTCCTGGAAAAAAAATTTTACATTTTCCCTGCATTTTCTATCATTTTCCCAGACATGTATATTAGCTATACAATAATATGAAAATGCTATTGTCTAAAATGATTTCCAAGCTCCTATGTGTAGCTGTTTTTACAGACGAGAGGATATTCGAAGGCATCAGATGTTCGTTGTCATAGCATGGACTATCATAGTTCGGCTGCTCGAGTACGCGTGGAGATACATGTAGCCACGCCTTTTTTCTACGCAAGCGACGTACGTAGCGTCGCGGAGCCACGCCCTTCTCAATCTGCGTGCAGAGCCACGCACCTTCTCAATCCACGCACGTGCAGAGCTATATACGGCTTCCCATATCCCGAGAAGGCGTGGCTCCGCGAGGCTATATAGGGGGCGCGGTGCTCCTTCGTTCCTGGACAAAAATACATTTTCCGGGACTCCGGGACACACTATCAATTTCCGGGACAATTCAGGGATGGGTTGGCAGCTATGCATCAGCACCAGCGCGTGTGGCAGGATGACGCAGCAGAAATTCAGCATTGTCTTTGGCTAGTTGGACTACAAATCAGTTAACGTCAGGCGTCTCGGCTTTACAGGATACACTCCGAGGCTGTTGACTATACTGGAAGAGGGCAGTCAACAGCCTCGGAGTATATCCTGTTCTGCCTTGCCGCCTATACGTTATAATGTTATTTTTGTCGATGCATGGACTTCTGAAGTTTCTGGTGTCTAAAATTGCATGCAATGACATACAAATGTTGCACAGACTCCCCTGGGGTTTGCGAAGGTGCTGGTCAGGGTAAGTCCCATTGTCACACCCGTCCAGCCCCTTCCTTCCTCCCTTTATCACCTCCTGTTCCTTTACCACTGTCCCTGTAAACATCTTTCCTGGGACTCTCACTTGGCCTACCAGCGAGAAAGTAACGCTCGTTTGCTATTAAAGCTGCACCGAATTTGAACGGTGTATGCATTGCATATCTCTAAACAGGTTGGCCTCGTCCATGGAAGAGCCTTGGGGGTAATCCTTGTATGTTAGTCGATCGGGGCTAATAGTGGGCGATAATTCGAGAGCGCTTGCTCGAACCTCGCACCACAACTTGATGATAGGATCCCCCCATACAACAGAAAATGACGGTACTTATATACCCACGGAGAACATTTGAGAACACAGAACATTCGAGAACAGTCACGCTTACAGCACCTAGTGATTGCATAACATAGAATAACCATAGTGATTGCATACTACTGTACTGTGTTACATAGCTCCCCTCTTCGTGAAGAATTCGTCCCGAATTCACGATACATATGTTCCATACCGTGTTGGGGGGCACACGATCCCTTTGGGGATACCTTCGACATGGCTGCTCTGTTGGCGGGGGTCATCGGGGTGGGGGTGATGAGACTGGTGAGGTTGGGGGTGTCACTGAGGGATGAGGTGGCGTGTCGTTAGCTCCAGGAGAAGTAGAGGCCGGCGGGGCAGGTGATTCACCTCCTGATGGCAGTATAGATCTTGGGGGCGGGATCTCCGGCCTGTAAAGTGTGGGTAGATTTGTCTCCCCTGAATCGTCATCGACCAGCTCTAACCCAGTGCCGACTGGGACCCCAAGAAGGGACTGCAGAGGCCTGAGAGGATGTTTTTCCCTCATTTTAGGCTGTCGCGTACCAGGATAGCAGAGCTTCAGCCGATCAAAGTGCACCACCACACACTTTCTGGGAGCCTGGATATGCTGGAGCCGATAAACGGATTGTGAAAGTCTCTCCAGGACATGGAATGGCTATGGAGCTTTTTCGACTTTCCACGTGGCATTGCTGCTGGGTTGTGCAACCAAACTTGATCGCCAACCTCGAAGGCCTTGCCGTGAGTTTTGGCATTGTAGCGATCTCTTTGTTTCTCCTGCTTGTGCCCCATCTGACTCCGCACATACTGGTAAGCGGTCTTGAGACAGTTTCTGAGGTTTACGACACATTGGGGGACTGCGGTAGGGGTTTGGCATTGCGGTCCCCAGCATGATGTCAACAGGCATGCGGGCCTGGTGTGCAAACATCTAGAAAAATGGCGAAGATCCTGTCTTGGGGTGGATACTAGTGTTGTAGGCATGGCAAAGACGAGGGAGGTGTTGTTCCCCACTCAAATGGTCGATCAGTTACAGCCGTGGCTAACATGTCTAATAATGTGCGATTAAAACGTTCAACTAGGCCGTCGGATTGTGGGTGGTAAGGGGTGGTCCTCGACTTTTGGACTCCGAACAGTTTGCACACTTCGCTGATAATTGCTGACTCGAAATTTCTCCCTTGGTGTGAGTGCAATTGGTCAGGGAGGGAAAACCGAGCTCGTCCACTAGTTTCCTAGCGACCGTGGTTGCCTCTTGGTTAGGGATTGGGTATGCCTCCGTATAACGAGTGAAGTAATCAGCCACCACAATAATGTACGAGTTCCCCGATGCTGACTCCGGGAGCGGACCTAGGATATCGGTAGCGACCATTTGCAACGGATAGCTAGTGCCAATGGGCTTCAACGGCGCACGTGGTGTGGTTGTTGGAGACTTCCGCTGTGCACAAGCAGGGCACCAATCTCTCACATGGTTGTGGTGCGCCAGTAAAACCGCTCCTTGAGACGTCCCAGTGTCTTTTCCATCCCTATAGGTGCCCACTCACAGCACCCTCATGGAGGTCTTAGATTACCTCCTCTTGGATAACCTCATCTGGAGCTTCTCTGGAGAACCGCCCATGGGCTATAGCCGCCGGCAGAGAACACCCTGATGTACCACCAACTGGTTCCAGATCTGGAGGAGGTGACGGGCTGACTTACTTCTTGTTGTAAAGCCCTCAGGACCAGGTCTGGTACCACTCTCCTTGCCCCGAAGGATGGGGGCTAGTGTCAGGTCTGCAAGTTAGGTTTGTCGGAGGCTATCACTAGCTTGAGCCGGAGGTGAGCAGTGGTAGCAGTGTCTTGGTTGCTGCGGCCACATTGTTGGTACAGGAGCCTTGAGAGTGAGTCCGCGTTTCTGTGAGCAGTTCCCTTTCGATGCACCACCTCTAAGTCTAGCTCTTGTAGTCTCTCCAACCACCTGGCAGCTGGCCCTCCGGCTCTTTAAAGTTTCGCAGCCAAGTAAGGGATCCATGTTCTGTACGGAGAGTAAACTTGCGGCATATGAGGTAAGGACGATACTGCTGAATAAATGTCACGACAGCTAAGAGCTCCAAACGGGTGACGCAGTATTGGCATTCTGGTTTCGTCAGCAACCTGATAGCATAGGCGATAGCCCGCTCTCGACCCTCGTCATCCATTTAAGAAAGCACCCCACCGATCCCCGTGTTACTCGTGTCGGTATCCAGGATGAAGGGCTTCTGTAAATCCGTATAGGCCAGCACCGGTGCAGAGCAGAGATGTTCGCGGAGCTTATCGAAGGCATCCTGCCATTGGGGGGTTCAGACGAATGATGCTGTCTTCTCCATCAGTCGATGAAGTAGGCGTGCGATTCGGGCAAAGCCCCTGAGGAAACGCCTGTAAAGGCTTGCGAACCCGAGAAACTGCTGAGTCTCCTTTTTGATGGTCGGCACCGGCCAGGTTGCCACCTTTGCTGTCTTGTCTTGGTCAGTGGCAACCCTGTCACGGGATATGATGTGGCCGAGGTATCGTACTTCCTTCTGGAGAAAGGCGCACTTGGATGGTTTAAGGCGGAGTACCGACGGACGGAGTCGCTGGAAAACTGAATCTAGAATCTTGATATGCTCCCCGAACGACCGACCTAAACCGATTATGTCGTCGAGATATACCAGGCACTGTGACCACTGGAGACCTGACAACACTAGGTCCATGAGTCGTTGGAATGACGCGGGAGAGTTACACAACCCGAAGGGCATGACCCTGAACTGGAACAGCCCTTCGGTTGTGCAGAAAGCCGTCTTGTCCTTGTCGGGTTCGGCCACTTCGACCTGCCAGTACCCACTGAGGAGGTCAGGGGTTGTGAACCATAGTGAGCCGTGCGGCATGTCCAAGGTAACGTTGATGCGGGGGAGTGGATAGGCGTCTTTGTGGTGACGTTGTTCAGTTTCCTGTAGTCGACGCAGAATCTTGTGGAACCGTCTTTCTTTTGTACCAGTACAATGGGAGATGCCCAGGGGCTGGAGGACGGTTCAACTACCCCCCGTTCCAGCATCTGGCTTAACAACTCTCTGACCTCCTCTCGACAATGTGGTGAAATTCGACGGACAGGTTGTCGGATGGGTGGTGAGTTGCCAGTGTCTGTGTGATGGCGAAGCCTGTCCGTCCGGCCCAGATCTGAAGTTGAAGATGCCATCACATCGGAATAGGCGAGTAATAGATCATAGAATATGTCCCTCTCACCCGCACTGAGTTCCGCACCACAGTCCTGGACAAGCTGCCATAGCATCTCTCGTTTATTGTTACTGACCTCTGGAGTGGTGTCAACAACTGCATCGCCCTCTGCCGGTGGTTTGATGGGCTTCAGCACCGCAATGAGTGTAGAGGGTAGGGGGCTCGTCTGAAGTGTTCAAGATGCACACCGGTATAGTTGTCGATGTCGGTTGCACCAAAGCTCTAGCCACAGCAAGTTGTGAGGCCCCAGACACAGTCCCTTCCACCAACCACACTCCCTCGACTGCAGTCTCCAGGTGTGTGGAAACCTCCAATACACAGCAGGGAGGCACCTCCACTTTTTCAAAAGTGCGGGCCAGTTGGGAATGCGTGCACGACAGAGTCTGGGGCGGGGCGTCCAGTAGGATTTCGCACCCACTCTGTTTGAGGCAGAGTCTTCCACAACCCAGGTCAATGACGGCCTGTTGGCCCTGGAGAAAATAAATGCCCCGGATTGCCTCAGACTTTAAGGGACTCACTACCACCATTCCAGTTTTGAATTCCCTACCCCCCACAGTTGAAGTTCACGCATACACACCCACGAACAGTCAATGGCATGCCCCCAGCACTTACTAGAGTAGCTCCGGGCGAGGGCTCCAGACTTGGGGGTTTGGGTGCTAACTATTTCCAGACTTCTTCCCTCAGCAGGGTGACAGCTGCTCCAGTTTCCAACAGCAGGTTGAGGTTAGTGCCGTTGATCGAGCCAGTCAGTCCGGAGCCACCAGTCACAGGAGAAACATGAACACAAGGTTGGACCATGAGTTTATCACCCTCCGACATTCGGTCCGCTGTATCGGAGGGGTCTAGTTCCCCTGTTGTTGTTGTGGGGGTTGCTGGGGGTGAGCTGGGGGTGAGGCAGGGGGCAGTCTCGGGCCAGGTGTCCCACCTGCTGAGCATGTACCAGAAAATTGCCTCCTCGTTCTGGGGCGTGGACATTCCCTACTCGACGTTGTGGTTGGCAACTGGCTGTTCCCTCGTTGCATCTTCTCAACATGCTCAGCTAGCCTCCCAACAACATGTACCAATTGCGTAATCTGGCTCACCGCATCGACACTAGCAGGGGCAGGCTCTCCCGGTTCTTGGAGAGTGGAACTAACGGCTTGGGGGGAAAGATATGACTCCATTTCGGGAGTGGTGGCAACTGCATCATCTAACGTAGTTGGTTGCTTCTGCCTTACAGAGAAGGAGATCTGAGGCTGTGGCAGTTGGCTGAGGTAAGCGTTCAGTGACAGTCGCTCGCGGGCTGGGGCACGTGACAACAATTGGAGATTCTTCAAAGATAGTGTTGTGTGTTAGGCAATGCTGGACTCGATTTTTTCCTTCATGTCTGAGTATAAGGTAGCGTTTTCTTTTCGTATCTCTATTGCTATAACTATATATAGCCATGTTAAACATTACCTTATAGTTTGCTAAACACAAGGTTTTCACTTGTTATTCACTATTCGCTCTCTGTCTGTCCCAGCACTCTTACACATGTCAGGTCAGTGGACCTGGTCTAACATCAGCCACAGTCAACCAACCAACACACATCCTAGTCCAACTAAATGACTCTAGTGGTAGACCATACTCACTTCCACTCAATGTCACAGCACAACTTGAGCTCGTTTCAAAAGCCACACCCACAAATCCACCTGAAGCCACACCCACTAGTCCACCCGTAGTGACGGTCACCGAAGCAATGATGCCCACTAGTAGATGGCCGTGGTCTAAAAAACCTCCCATCCGATACGAGATGACGTACACACCAGTCAGTCGAGGCCAACACAAACTCCATGTTCAAGTCAATCACAGAGAAATCAATGGCAGCCCCTTCACTGTGACCGTGTACCCTGACCCCAGACAACTAGGCCACCCTGTGAGGACTGTGACTGGATTGAACAAACCGTATGGAATTGCCTTCAACAGTCATCAGGAGATGATTGTCAGTGAATGTGAGGGTCATAGAGTGTCTATCTTTGACAACAGAGGACAGAAAATCCGAACATTTGGATCCCATGGTGACAGTCCAGATCAGATGGAATACCCAGCATGCATAGCAACCCGATGATAGTGACAATATTTATGTGAGCAGTTGTCACAAGCTGCAGAAGTTCACTAGCAGTGGTGAACTGATCAAATGTATTGGTCGGTGGGGCAGTAAGGAGGGGGAGTTTAATGATCCACGTGGAGTGACACTGTATGACAATCAAGTGTATGTGTGTGATCGTGATAACCATCGCATTCAGGTGTTTGACCCCGACTTGAACTTTGTCCGATCCATTGGCTCACATGGCAAAGGAAGAGGCGAATTCAATAAACCATATGATGTCAAATTTGACACTGCCGGGAACATGTGTGTAGCTGAGCAGGGTAATGGGAGAGTGCAAGTAATGGACACCAGTGGCCAATTCATACGAGTATTTGGTCAGGAAGGAGAGGGAATACTGCATCGGCCATCAGGTCTTCATATTGCTGACAAGTATGTGTATGTGTCTGATTTCATTAGTCATTGTATTGTAGTGTATGAGACCTCAGGTCAGTTTGTCAACTCCTTTGGAAGGCCTGGTCAGAATGAGGGAGAGTTTTGTGGTCCATTCTGTATCACCTCTTGTGCTGATGGTTTTATACATGTATGTGATAGTTGGAACTTCAGAGTTCAAATGCTCTAGAACACCCAATGCTATTGCATCCACACATTTATCATAACAGTCGATCTCCCATTTCCTACCACTTGTTGCTCTCCTTAAAACCCCTTCAGAGACATTATAAAATCACAATACCTTATTTCGCATGTTTCATGTAATTGTATGCACTATCGTCTATGTAGCATAAAAATTGTGTGCTTCAGTATTCAGTATTGCACTTCATGTTTGTAACAATGTGTTAATAGTGCAGTTCTCTATAAACTATTATGCTGATGTTACAGTTGAATTGTATTCCTCATTTCGTTAATTAGCATGTTTTGTAACACAGTATAGTAAATCTCTTGTTCTAATTTCTAATGATTCATGCATTATATTATTCGTGTCAATTAACCCTCGGCGTGCATGCACAGCGGGGGTTACAGCAGTTCGTTTGTCTGTCTGTCTGTCTGTGTGTCGACGCTTATTCTGGCACTATAGGCTACAAGGCGGCCTATTAACGATACCAGCGGCTTCAGAACTATGCGAGCCAGAAAAATAAAAGGGCAATTTTCCTGAAACGACTGTGTTCGAGAGATATGCCGTGAAAACAAGCGAAAAAGTCAATTTGCATATTAGGCCACTCCAAGTTCTATACCGGTTTCTAGTCTGCCCCCCGCACAAGAGAACGCCGTTTTGGCCATTATTAACCCTTTGGGCGCCATGGGTATCTCCTTAAATAAGCAGAAGCATGTATGACATTAACGCCTAGTATTTTACCCATATATAAATTCTTATGGACTTATGGAGGCTCTGGGCATATAAATAATATGCCCGTTGCTGGCTAAGGATTAAATGCGCATACTGTCCTGTGTGTACTCATGGCTTTGCTCTTGTCTCGTTTTGCAAGTGAACATAATGAGTAAAACCCGCCCACCCGCATATTGACTTGAAAAGGCCCTGACCAGAAGCTGTAATGCAACTTGGAGTGACCTTAGCACTGGCTTATCGCGACTTGATCCGCTTGCTCCTGTGTATATACCTTGGGGGCTCAGTAAATCACAACGAATGGCAGTGTATCGACTCCCGCATGCTATCTACTACTGTTGCTAGCCCGAGCCAGACTCACCGCGACCTACAAGCGGGAGACCACGAGTAGACGCATACAAATAGCTCAGCCCATAAATTCAAAGTCAGAGTATCATTTCCGCCCTCTTCGGGATGAAATACAATACACAATGCATATTGTAGCCTCTAATGACACAAAAAATAAACAAAGCAGTGAGTGACCAAAGAGAGAAATAGTGAAATATTTTGCACTGGTGGGTAGGTGTTAAAACTTCATGGGCGTGATGGCTTTAGCAAGTTGGATCAAGTTTTGTACTTTTTGTTCTCCAGCCAGCCCACAATGGTATCAACATTGTAGTTGACGAGGTGTTCAGCGAATAAGTGCTCAGTATATGATATACAGATAGTATCCTTACAGTGAGGACTGGATTTGTTGCCGAAAGTTGGTCTGCTTAGTGGTGAGAAAAAGCCCTGTAAGCCTGGTGCCACGGACACCATATAGGGCTTGTGTGGAGGAAAATTTACATGAGCAAGCGATGTCAGTTCAAAATATGTAGCCATCATCCATTGTACTACGGCATCATGTTCACTAGGTCATCCCTGTCTTGTCTCCTTACTTTTTATGGCATCCCTATATTCCACACTTTTAATTCGAAGTTCTTGCCTCCTATTCTTTTTTTGACTGCATTCACATGCATGGTGTCCATATAAAAAGGGGATATTTTTGGACATAAGCCCATAGAAAAGTAACATTAGTGGGCTTAAGCTATCGCCTCAGACGTTTTGCGTCTTTCACATTACATCAGTGCACCAAGTTTCATTTGAGAGGACCCATCATAAGTAAGTTATAGGCAGTGACACCATTTGAAAGCCTTTTTTGCCTGAGGCTGTTTGTTGTTATTTACAACATTGTATTTTCTGTTTTGGTGAACACTTTACCATGGTGAATCGGTGTACCAAGTTTCATTGTTAGAGGAACAACCACAAGTAATTTATTGGCACAAACACCATTTACAACTTTTTTTGCCTGGGGCTGTTTGTTGTTTTTTACAAGGTTGTAATTTCTGTTTCTATGAACTCTCATCATGGTACATCAGTGTACCAAGTTTCGTTGTTAGTGGACCAACCATTAGCAAGTTAGAGGCACAAACACAATTTACAAGTATTTATTGCCTGAGGCTGTTTGTTGTTGTTTACAAATTTGTAATTTCTGTTTCGATGAACTCTTATCAGTGTACCAAGTTTCATTGTTATACGACCCAATATAAGCAAGTTATAGGCACAAACACATTTTACAAGTTTTAATTGCCTGAGGCTGTTTGTTGTTGTTTACAAACTTGTAATGTTTACTAACGATGGTTGTATATGTGTACATAGTTTTATCACTCTGGGTATTAGCTTTACCTAGTTAGCACAGTTTATTTGTCTCTATCATAATGCCTGGGGCTATTTTTTCTTGTTTTCATGTAAACAAAATGGTTTACGAAGAATAAAAATGCTCTTGCATGACCTGTCGTGGATTCCAATCTTTGTGCAAAGTTTCATCTCCATATCTTCAGTGGTTTTTGAGATACGTGTCTAAACTGAACAACAAGAACAAGAAGAATATTTAAAAGTAACTTTCTTGAATAAATCAAGTACCGATTATGCGATTTAAGCCATTTGTTGGATACATGCTCTTTGTGACGATACGGATCAGTCTGATGTGTCAAAAGTTGGACCTGATTGAAACTGAAAGTTAAACATGAAAATCTCAAATGTATGGGCATAATGCAGGATGACCTGTGTCATCCCCATATACTAACTACTACCGTACTTAGTTATATGGCCACATTATTTAAATGTGTGTCATCCAGATAGACAGACAGACGCGCATGCGCGCCGAGGGTTAATGAAGGCTGTGCAGGATTTTGGAATAATAACCCATTAAAATTAAAATCCCAATGTCGGGGATCAAACCTGCACAGCACCTCTTTATAGATACAACCCTGTCCCACTAAGGGCTTGAATTTGTTCAGTGAGTCCAGTATCTTTGAGTAGACTAGGCAGTCCTTTCCCCTCGAGCTACTCCTGCCGGATCTTGTGACATATCCTCTCTCCGTGTCTACAACATAATTATTGGAGGATGACTCTAAATGTGTATGTCAGTAGCGTAGGAAGATGTTCAGACAAAGGGGGGCTCCAATGCGCATGCGTAAAAATGATACACTGCGCGCGATCACTGTTATTAAACTCCCTCACTTTCTATATAGGCGCAAGCCCCAGAAAATATAGGGGGGCGCCAGCCCCCGGAGCACCCGTGGTCCCTACGCCACTGTATGAGGAACTTTGTACTCATGAATCATGACCACTCAAAACTCATGTGAAAGTCCCCTTCACATATTGCTTTCTTAGCACTGAAGAAGGTTCCAGGAGGTTCGATTCTGTTGAACCACTCCGAACTAGAGTACAAGTGTCCTATACACCACGTTCCCCTAGTGCAGTATGTTGTTAGAGAAGGTTCAGTGCAGTTGAACCACCCACAACTCATGCAAATAACCCCTACACACCTTGATTTCTTTGCACTTAAGAGGTTCAAGAAGGTTCGAGGACGTTCGCTGCTTTTGAACCACTCTGAACAAGAGTACAAGTATCCTATACACCTTGTTCCCTTTGTGAATATGTTCTTAGAGAAAGTTCAGTACAGTTGAACCACCCAGAACTCATGCAAAAGACCCTACACACCTTGTTTTCTTCGCACTGAAGAGGTTCAAGAAGGTTCAAGGAGCTTCGCTGCTGTTCAACCACTCCGAACTGGAGTATATACAAGCATTTTACACACCTCGTTCCCCTTGCGAATAATATGTTCTTAGAGAAGATGCAACCAACGAAGAATTTATAAGTGTTACCATGCATCAAACGCATGACACTCTCTACTCGTTTTAATGGTATTTCTACCCAAGTCGCTTTTCAATCTCTAAATGTTGTATGTCTTAAATGGAAAGTAGCGAGTTGCTTGAGTTTGTTGTTACAAGATAATAGCATCGCAATGATAAAGTCCGATTGTCACAGGAGCAGTGAGTTCTTGGCCTATTGAAGTCACGGTTTGCCCTTTTTGTTCACCTGATCATACAGGGTAGCTGCAGTTCAAAGTAGCAAAAGACGACTCTGAGCTACTGTTTGCAGGGGCCTGTGTGTTTATTAACCCTCGGCGCGCATGCGCAGCGAGGGTTACTGTACTTGGTCTGTCTGTCTGTCTGTCTGTCTGTCTGTCTGTCTGTCCGCGCGAGTTCTTGCATTACAGGCTACAAGGCGGCCAATGAGTGGCACCAACGGGTTGTGAACAATGAGATCAATGTGGGGATTTTTCTGAAACGACTGCGTTCCAGAGATCGCGCACACGCCCTCTCCGGCAGGCTATGTATAGCACGCACGCGTTATGTCATTTATTCGCCGGAGCATGCTCTACGCCACGTTTGATCCACGGGCTTCTATCACTTTTGATCATGCTGAGCAAGGTATATATGTTCGCAATGTAGCATAATAGTTAAGGTGGCGAGCAGTTTGTGGTTGCGGCCTTGCCTTGCCATCTATAAAACGTCTGGCGAGAGCATTGAAACACAGAAGAGCGGAATAAAGCAATAAAGCAAGACGAGTGAAGTGTGCTCGCCAATACAATGACTGCTACACGCTGGGAGAGAACTGGAACCGCCAGGGAGACCCTAGCCTCCTTTCCAGGCCCCGCAAAACGGCCTATGAGGCTACGATCGTCCGCCACTCACTACTAAGGGGGTGTGACCGCGCCCGCGACCGTGGGTGACGCGTTCACCGACCGCGGCGCCGGCGCGGCTGTTGGGGACCACGTCGTGATTGGGAAAGCTCGCTCGAGCGCACAGGGTTTAGGGTAAGAACTTGCGCCTGCCTTGGTATGCTCCCAGAATTCGAGAAAACCCGAATCGAAACCGGAAATCGAGAACTTCGAACGCATCGCTGGAATGGTAAACGGACATCGGCATAGAACCTATCGGCCACGGTATTTTAGTGAGCGCCTACTATCTGCCAACCTTTGGCAGGGCCGGCGTCGCCGGTACGGCCGGTCCGGTTTTGGCCGGACCACTTTTATGTGATTGGCTGCGCATGCGCATGCGCATGTGATGATGAAGAGGGCGTGGCGTATTCGTGTGGAGAGCGCGGCAACGCGCGACAACGGTCTCTCGTCGGCGCGGCGGGGACAGTGTTAGCGGTGCCACCTCGCGGCCTTTTCAATTTGTTATCTATGTATGTACTTGACTATGTAGGCACGGCAAGAGGCCATATTATTTGCCAGATTGCACCAGAAACACTACCAGGATGTCCTAAATTTCAATCTTTTCCTGGGGAAGCATGGCCCCAGACCCCCCTAGTGGCCGCGCTTCGCGCGCACGCTCCAGTTGGCCTGACCACTACAAAATTGCTCGCTCCGGCCCTGTTTGGCCGTGCAAGACAGGGACAAGGTTGAAATACATTCACTCCAAACGACCGGGGGAGGGGGGGGATTCGTCTCCATGCGCAACTGTCTTTCGCCATCTTCTTCCTTCCGCCATTCGGCAGACACGAGCCAGCCATACTTTTACCGTCGATCGTCTACACGCGCTCGTTGTGGCCCGCTGAGCCTTGCCTTCCCAAGTGATCGGTGTCGGCCGGCTGGGCGCCTCTGCGTTGTGTATATACGCGTATGCGTTTATGCGTCGTACACTACATGGGTGTGGCAGATGGAATCTCCGGTACAAACGAGGGATTCCAGCGCCGGCGGGCGGGACATCGGGTAAGTAATATCGGAAATGTCCCGACCAGATCCGGACGGTTGGCAGGTATGCTACTACTGTGGGATTTTCCACTACGCACTAGTGCAAAGAGATCTTAGATAAGGGAGGAGGGAGGATAAAGGAGTTACTATAGCTAATAGTCATAAGCACACCCAAGTTGTGATAGGCTAATTGATCTTAGTGGTGGCACACAGTGCAATATGCCATTAAGGTGCATGTTTCAGAGTGTAGGGGGACTGGGGTGACTGGGGATAAGTTGTGATGGGCTAATGGGGCCACAACTCTCAAGTGAATTATGCCATTATGGTGAATGTTTCAGAGGGTGGGCGGATTGGTATGACTGAGGAGTGAGGAGTGAGCTCCCTTATCTCGTTCACCCTATTCTGCACAAACCGTTTTCACTCTCTCTTCCAATTCATGGTCCAGAAGAGGGCAACTGGTGAGTCAGTGTGGCAATCGATGCTCCTAAACTGTATCTCTGGTTCGAGGACCTGATTTACAGTGGAGAGAGGTCTTGTGCAGATAGGAGTTCCAGACGTGGAATGGAGATCCTTTTCACTGGTGCACCTCTTGTTTTTAAGCAAACAAACTGGTTGTGAGCACCGTTGACGTTTTCTACTTGTAGGTAAATTACAGTCGTATAAGCCTTCTCACAGTAGCCCTGCAGTGAGAAAGAGGTTGAACGTCTTCCTCGGCAGTCGCCTGTGTCTGGCAGCAACAAGGTATCTTGATGGGAGTGAAATGCTGTAGGTCTGAAGTGTGTCTCTCCCACTTAGCCAGGAATTCTCCTGTTAGTGACTCGTCCCAATCCTATTGTTCCTCGCGCATCTTATGGAACAGGTGCTTGAACCGTATTGGTGAGATAATTCCAAGAGAGTCGTAGAATCTACTTGTGAGGCTAATTATATTCCTCTTTGATGGGCTTGTCCCCTTTATACGATGCGCGAGATCACTGACGTCGGCAAGTCCTTGGTCGGCTTCAACATCACAACTCACTCCTGATCAATACTCATTTCCCTCAGCTCCAACTCCCTCAGACATTCCCCTTCCAGAGCAACTTTGCTTTTCAGGAGGCAACTACCCTCTCTACTTGAAGTATTTTCCTCCCTGTGTTCTTTGGGTTCTATGCTGTGTTCAGTGAATTCTCTCGGTTCCTAAAAGAACTCTGAACCAACTGAACCCTGCTATATACGTCAGGGAACAAAATTGATAGTAAACGAAAATTAATAAACATACACAGAACATTAACCCTGTAAGAATAATTTTCATCAGTAGGTTAGCATGTTCTTACTTGCAGCATTTATGCATTGTGTACTGAAAATTGTTTCTATTTCTGATAGTTAATGAGGTAGGTGGGGTAGGACTTGCGGTTATCATATGTCATGTATACTTCAGAGCCATTAGTGAATCCATTGACACTATCATACCTCCGTTTTGCGTACGGAAGAGTAGACCTAACACTATCCCCTTTCACAGTAGGCCCAGGAATTTCAGGAGGAATACGAAGACTCCTGTCAGGCTCCATTTTAAAACTCTTACCAGTAAGGACACTAACAAGAAATATTGTCCTCACACCATCTTGTACAAAAGCATAGTCATCCGAATAGCTGGCATTGACAGCAAAGTAATTAGCCTGACCCCACATTCCATCACCTGCAAGTCTCATTTCAAACCCTTCCTCTCCATTGTATATAAGTTCGGGATCATTTTTCCGTGTACCATGGAAGAGCTGCTTCTCATTGACTTCCCCTTTGTTCTTTTTCAAAAGCCTGGATTTCTCCTGGATGTACGATTTCCACAGCATCCTGTTCTGAATTCGTAAGATATTAGTGATAGTGGCACTACTGAGTGTTGTTTTAAACTGAGATTCAACAGTCCTCCACTCATCAGAAAACTGTGCAACCTCGACTTTTTCCAGACGCTCAGTTTGATTTCTCCATTCAGAAGGAATTGCTCGAGAGTCTATGCTGATTGCACTCATTCTGCAAATTGTGTTTCTGTTGAATGTTTGTCTGCACCATATTTTCCCATACAGACACATATACACTGCTAGAAGTATGGAGAGAAGAAGCCAAACGAGAAACACATAGATAAATATTAATCCAAGGTTGCTTCCTGCCACAGATTGACCTGTAAAGTGTAGAGAAGAGTGTGCAAGCTAGGGACATATACCCACGTTACAAGTTTAAATAGATACAGCATGAAATTTGAATATACATACTTGGTTCACTAAGGCCAGTAGAGCTTGTGTCGGCTGTTGCTAAAGTATGAAAGGTGAGCTGTTTTGCCACCGGTATGGCAATGGCGCGAACCCAAAGTTATGATTGGTATTCAAGCAAGCTTCACAAACTGACTGTTTAGCTATGCAGTTCATAGCGAAAGCAATCCACGGAATAGCTATCTATAGCTGAAAATGAAACACCAACATCCATTTAAGAGTACTACTATAAGAAGAAGTGGAAGTGTTCAAAAGATGGGGGGAAAGAGCTGAAACTCCTCCCCACCACCTGTTGTGGTTAGGAATGTTTGCTTGCATGTATGCAACAGAAAGTCGAAGAGTCAAAGTGAAATAAGCATAGCTAGCTATACAAAAAATTTTGCTAACTTGCGTAAGAGTACGTAAGTAGGCTGGTGACCCTTCACAAAAAAGTTTAAGAGTGCTCTTGTTTTTGTGTGAGACACAAGACTAGAGAGTAAGAGGCAAGTGCAGTTACCTGCTGTTTCTTTGATAGTAATGGTGGTTGATGCAGAGGTGTTGCCCCAGATATTGAAACCTAGACAAGTGTAGTTGCCAGAGTCAGCACCTGATGCATGTCGCAAGACAAGCACACCATCACTGGTGTAGTATGGACCGTTTGTAGGGGAGCTGGAGAGACTGCAAAGACCAACAATAACAAATTAGCAATAGAACAGGATCAATGTTTACTTTTGTCCTTTTCTAATCCATATAATCTTAGGCTGAGGAATGCCGTAGAAGTTGCATGGTGAGAACTCTGGTGTTCTTTCTGGATCAATTGTATAATGCAACAGCAATCCTCGGAATAGGGTAGGTTTGCTTCCAGTAACTGCAGCTGGATCAGAAAAGCACCAAATATGAAGACGCATTCAGCAGCAGCCGTGAAGTGCACTATACCCGCAGTTGTCGCCGCACAAAGGAAGAACATAGCATAAACAATTTTGCAGCGAAGTCTAATGTAAATCACACGATCCGTCCTCTGATCCGTCATGTTTGAGTCCATCACAACCAACTGCACTGGCTCACTTGCTTGCTCGGCGATAGAGACGCTGGTTAGCTGCGGAGAAATCAAACTGAGCGTCTGGAAAAAGTCGAGGTTGCACAGGTGCATTGACAGATGCTCTGAAGTGTGTGTGTGCACAAATGTTTGCTCCATGAATCATGATCAGTGAGTCACATGCAGTGCCATGCAAATCATGATTCCATTCTGTCTCACTCCTTCCTGGGCTGCAAGTGCAACTAATCACATTCTCACACCTTTTTAAGTGAATTTATAATTCACTGTGCTACAAAGTGTGAATGTATTGAAACATCTGGTAACACCACCAGTTCTGTATGTGACTCAAAATTCACTTGCGTCACACCATGCAAACACTGCTGTCGCCTGATGTTTACCATCGCAGTGAATCAGAAACTGCTTATGTGTGGTCTAATTCTGACACTTTGTGAATAATAACAGCTATTGGGATAGCAATACGGCAGAAATAATACAAGAAACAAAATGGTGCAGTGAAGATACAAAACTATTTTGATGAGCTATATGAGATCAAATGTTTGAACTCTATTGTTTCCAGAGTCACATACATAGAGTTTTCCTCTACGAGATGTCGTACAATATGGTGAATGTAACTGACCAACCCTTTGACCATGAGAACCAAGAGTGGTAAGAAAATCACCTGACGTTGTGTAAACTACAATGCGATCATTGGAAAAATCAGAAATATAGACTATGTTTTTGTCTTTGTCAACATGAAGGCCTGTCGGGAGACCAATATTGCCTATCCTGCTTTGACCAAATGTATAGATGAATTGGTCATTAGTGTCCATTACTTGTACTCGTTTGTTACCCAACTCAACAATATACATGTTTCCGGCCTTGTCAAATTTTACATAAGGGGCATCTATTTCCCCCTCCCTGTTTCCATACGAACCAATGGACTTGATGAAGTCCAAGTCAAGGTTAAACACTTGGATGCGATGGTTATTTCGATCACACACATACACTCGGTTTTCATGTATTGTTATTCCACGTGGATCATTAAACGTCAAATCATCACCGTTGGCCTCATTATTACCAACACATGCCTTTAGTTGACCACTGCTTGTGAACTTCTGAAGCTTGTGCTTACTGCTAACATAAATGTAGTCATCATCATCTACTGCTATATCTGCAGGCTGGGTCATCTGATCTGGTCCTATTGGCTCTCCTATCTTGTTTTTATTAATGATGAATACTCGATTCTCCCCCCACCCACTGACAATCATCTCCCCGGATTTTTTAATAAAGTCAACACCATATGGCTTTCTTACTATAGCTTCAATTCTATCGGACTGTAGGAACATTGCCCAATTTCTTCTTGTGCTTGCACAAGTTCCCTTTGTGCTTTCACCCAAGCATTTTCCTATACACATGAAAGATAAGTTCCATTTCTACAGTATTATGCACATTATTTATGTACTTTTTCTATTAGATTATGCTCAGCCTTTATTAGCTCTGGATCCTCCTTCAGATGTTGCACATCTTCTGGCTTGTTCTCCTTCATTAAATATTTGCAGATTTTAAATTTCTCCGTATTCATATTGTTTCTTTACCTTAGATTGATGCTGTTTATTTCCAGCTTCAGTCCTCTATAAACACAATATGCAAATAATATTAGCTTCTTGTTAAGTAGCTACATGTTGCACCTCTTGAATCTGTAGCCGTTTTCCTTCTGCTTCCAGTTTGTCCTGTAATAGCCTATATATAGCTAAATGGGGAATTTAAATATTCGTAGTACCTGTAGACTATTATAACCTTCCAGGGCATGCATGATCTCTGTCAAAAATTGACAAGTCTCCCTTCCAGCAACACCTATCACAAAACACCTGGAGTGAATTCACTTGACGCACAAAATACTTATTCAACACTGTGCTCCAGTCTGCATTATTACACAGAGGGCATGCTCCCTTCAGTTGTTGTTGCTGTATTACAGCCTCTTGTGAGATATGCTGACCACAGCAGATTGTGAGTTGAGGCTTCAGCAGTAGATCATACGTCACTGGACAGAAAAAGTCTTCAGATGGCTGCTCAACAAACAGGTAATCTTCCTCTTCCTCTGATGATTGTTTAAGTTGAGTGACAGATGGTGTACCTCTGAAATACAGAGTAAAGAGAAGGCTCTCTAGTCCCTGATATATAAGTCACATACCCTGGAAGCGCTGGGACTGATGATGCACTGGCTGGACCACTGTTTGTTGATGGGACCTTTTGTGAGAGTGGAACAGTTATCATCAGACACCACTGCAACAACCAGTCACACTTACCTCCTGAGGTTTACGTGAACGATAGACACAGGCTCCAGCTATATCCAGTTTAGTGACTGAATAGTTCTGGAGAGGCACTTTAGGTAAGGTTTTATTTAGTGTCTCAACGACTGATTCAGGTATAAACCAGGTGATGATGAAGGAGCCAGGACGAACTTGGGCAATCATCAAGGCACACTCTCGCAGGTTGTAGTGAGAGGCGTACACTTGTCGGAACTTTTCCACATCTTCCAGTGTCTTATTCTCTGGCCACTTAAACTTCACAACTATTTCTTTAAAATCTCCTGGGGGTTTGATTATCTTTCCCCCCTGCGTGTGACAAAATAGAGTTAATGGGGTCTTCACTCTGAGCCTATGAAGGTCCCGCTTGTAAATTGCCATTTCTGCTTTATTTTCCAAGTTAAACTCTTTAACTAAATAATCAAACAAGTGATATGAGAGGTAATTGGAGTTGAAGCTTAACTGCCCTATAACTTCACAGTGATCATTAGCTTGGTAGAAAACACTCCAGTGGCTCTCGGAGAAATATTTATGTCCCCTACACTCATCTGCCTGTAGTTCAGTTAGTGCATCAACAACTTGTTTAACAGGGATTTTTCTCTTTTCTAGACATTCTCTGCATGACTTTTTGAGTTGACTAAATCTTCTTTTAAACTGCTGAATCTCACACTGAGTTTGCTGGATCTGTTCAGCTGTAGGTGGGTGAGATTACACTGACATCTATGTCTCCAGTGTAAGAACTAACCACAAGTATTTGATTGAGGAAATGGCTTTGCCTTGACTTCCTGATCCTCAGCAATATTACTGGCTGCAGGATCTGTGCACGGGAGGATAGAAATAATGACTATACCAGTCAATGATGGGTTGAGAGGATGATGACATACAGGTAGTCTCAGAACCTTTCTCAGAACCATCAGTTCCACAGTACTTTTCTTCCAGCTTCTGGGCCAAAACAATCTTATTGATATATCTTAGAGCTTTCGCCACTTTCTGCCAGGAGGCCTCGGAGTCAGAGTCCAACCACACGCTCATGGTGTTCAATCGCCGATTTTCAGGCTCAATCTTCCTCACTTCTTTTAAATCCATTCCGAGCTGTACGGCCATCTCTACCAACTCTTCCAATGTCAGCCCTTTCAACTCTCGTGCGAGACACGCCAACTCGGGTTTCACCACCGACATGTTCAGGTAAGAAAATAATCGGTGACGGGACGGGCTGCGCAATATAATATAGCGCATGCACGATGACAAACGCGTAGTGGGCGGGCTTGTTACGTCATCCTCGCTCGCTCGACTTCCCTGCAGTCGCAGGCTAGACGTTCCGAGGACTAGATATGCTACGGTCATACGTTAGCCAGGGATGGAATAGAGGTCCATCGTAGATTATGAGGAGGTGTGGTTACTAATTGGCGAACGGGAGCGAGCTAACCTAGTGGTACGAACGGCACGGAATTTTCTGTATATTTATCGTACGTCGTACGTCGTACGCCGTACGTCGTGTAAGTGCGCATGCGCGGCTTCGGTACATGCATACATGTATATGCACACACGTGTGCTAATATGACAACCGTGGCAACCATGGATCATCAGTCTACAGAGGATGCCCTTCGTCGTCGAAGAGAGCGGGAAAGAGAACGTCGTTCCCGTGAGACTCCTGAGCAGAGAGAGGCTCGGCTTTCTCAACGCCGACAGCGTGATAGGGAACGGGCAAGGGAACGCCTCGCCGCCGAAACAGCGGAGGAAAGGGAAGCACGACTAGCGAGACGTCGTGTACGAGATAGAAGCTACCAGGCAAGGCGAATTGCTACCGAGTCCAGCGAGGAGAGAGAGGCCCGCCTGCAACAGGTACGACGTAACCAAAAACAACGGATTGCTGCCGAGTCCAGCGAGGAGAGAGAGGCCCGCCTGCGCAGTACACGTAACCGACAACAACAGATTGCCTCAGAGACTCCACAAGAGACTGAAGCAAGACGTCAGCGTGACCGAGAAAGTCACGTGCAGCATGCAACTACTGCCACTTCAACCCAACCTCAACTTCACCAGCCAATTGTCCAATCAAAGATAAGCAAGTTCCATTCTGAAATGGCATCTTTGCAGATGTCCCTGTGCATCACTTGCCGTGAGAGGTTCCCTGGCTTGACTGTCCGGATGACTCCATCTGGTACGGAGTGTTTGCGTTGTGTTCGGGACAAACACAGTCCTAAAGCTTACTCATCACTGAACAACATGGACCCTGGTCCTCTGCCACATGAATTATCTGTAAGTCACAGTTATGGGTGTTATGATTACCACACCTATTGTGATGAATGTCACACCTATAGCAAAGAAAACACTATTACAAGATGCTGTTTAAAATTACATTTTCGCAGGGTCTGACACAGGTGGAAGAGATGCTCATCTCTGCAGTAATGCCCATCATGTCGCTGTACAGACTGCCACAGGGACAGTACGGTTACACGGGACATGTAGTCAACCTGCCACAGGATGTAGCCTCCTTTGCCCAGAGTCTGCCAAGGCTTCCTTCTGACCTCGATGTCATTGTTGTTAGGAGGGAAGGAGGCAACCAGACCCATCGTGACTTCCGAGTACGGCGAAGTGTAGTTCACAGAGCTCTGCAATGGCTGGTTACCCACAACCAGTACTATCGATCCTTGGGTATTACCATCGACACCACAGCTCTGGAACAGCTCCCTCAGGACGGTAATGTGTCTGACCTTGTATCAGTCACTCACGAGACCTCGTCCTCAGACAGAGTTGACAGCACTTCTGTAGATGTAGCCAACGATGATGAGCATCTGCAACAGTCATTCGTTCCTATTGCTGTCCCCTCAATGACGCAGCAGGAGGCAGTGCAGCAGTCAGTGGATCAGCGTCAGTCCAGCTCCTCCTTCCACACACCACTCATGTGGCCATCCATTGGTGGAATGCCACTCAATGAGTTCACCACTGAGGGCTACTTCACCTGTGCCTTCCCCACCCTCTTCCCCACAGGAGCAGCTGACTTCCTCGGCCAGCGTCAGGTCCCAGTCACCATCGGGAACTACTTCAAGCACCTGATGCAGTACGATGACGGTCGTTTTGCCAAGCATCCACGATTTCGTTTCTTTGCTCTCAACACCGAGATGCGACACCGTGCCCTTCAGACTGGCCGAGTGTACGTCAGACAGCACCCAGGAGATGGCCAGCTGTCCCTGGACGAGCTGCGGGACATGGTGGGGAGACAGGGAGAGGCCTTCTCCAGTCGAGTGCTCCACTACGGCTCCAGTCTGCGTGGCACCAAGCAGTACTGGCAACGTCAGAGGAGTCGTCTGCTCTCCATGGTCGACGCACTGGGTCTGCCGACTGTCTTCTTCACACACAGTGCAGCAGATCTCCAGTGGCCAGAGCTGGCTAGACTAATCTGCCCCGACAACCCTGACTCCAGGACTGCCCGGGCCAAGGCAGTCATCGAGAACCCAGCCCTCGCAGACTGGTTCTTCTATCACAGAGTCATGGAGTTCGTCAAGGTCTTCTACACTGGAGTCCTTGGAGCCACGGACTACTGGCTGAGGTTTGAGTGGCAGCACCGAGGCAGCCCTCACGTCCATGGTCTAGCCTGGTTACCCGATACACCAGATGTGGAGCAGCTTCATGATGGTGGCAGTGATAGACTCCATGCAGAGATCATCAGGCATGCTGACCAGCTCGTCTCAACCACCAACCCTGCCGTCCTCCCAGATGGCAGCAACATTGCCGATGCACCAGCTCCAAAGATTGATCCCCACATCTGCAACAAGCCATTTGGGGACATTCAGGACTTTGACCAGGACCTGGCTGATCTGGTGGCCACCTGCCAGAGACACACTCGCTGCTCTGCCTCCTACTGCCTAAGGACGAAGCATGGCAAACAGGAGTGCCGCTTTGGCTACCCCAAGCCCCTGCAGCCTCACACTGCCATCGTCACCGAGGATGAACCAATTCTCCTCACAGCTAGGAACGACGGGATGATCAACAGCTTCAACCCAGTCCAGCTGTCTGCATGGCGAGCTAACGTGGACATGCAGTACATTGTCTCCCGCCAGAGAGTCCTGCAGTACTGCACCAAGTACGTCACCAAGAGTGAGCCACGGTCTCAGTCACTCAAGGAGATCTTCACCACTATCGTCCGTGGTCTCCGAGAAGGCAACACCTCTCTCAAGGCAGTCCAGAAGCTCCTCATCAACACCGTCGGAGAGAGAGACTACTCTGCCCAGGAGACCAGCCACCTACTACTGCAGCTACCAATGTTCAAGGCATCACGTGACTTCATCATCCTCAGCCTCGATGGGT